CCATCCTCCCCTCAGCCCGCGCGCAATCCAGTTTGTCGACGAGCTCCACCCCGCTTCCAACAACAACAACAACAACCTCGCTCCCAACCTTCACCACCACTCTGCATCCTCCACACCCTCGCGACAACCCTCTCCCGATCCCTTGCTGCGGCCTCGCTCGCCTGCAAACAACAACGACGACATGGCCAACGACTACGGTTCCCTCGATCGCAATGCTGCCAGCCAGTCCACCCCGAGAGCCGGCTATCGTGCCTCTGGTCCCGGCACAATCAACCTCCCGCCCTCGCCTTACACCGATACCCGCGCAGACCCAGACCCAGACCCAGACGCTGCCGCCCGCTACAACGCTCCCACCATGAGCCCTAGCATCCCCGGCTCCCGAGCCGCCTCAAATCCGCGCAGGATGTCCTTCAAGCGACGCGCTCCCAGCGTAGGCCAAAGGCACAACTTTCTCCAGCGTGCCTCCATGGGCGTATTCCCCAGAAAGCTCTCCACCGCAGGTAGCGACGCTACCAACCCCAGAATCCTGCGCCGCGTTCACACCACCGGCGTACCCTCCGGCGGCATCCATGACAACGACAACGACGACGGCACCATCGACGTCGACGCGCTCATTGCCGCTGCAGAGACCCCCTCCATCCCACGCATGCTTCCCAGCGCAAAGGCCGACCCCTTCTCCACGCCCATCCCCGCCCTCCCCTTCATCGTCCTATGCCTCGTCTGCTTTGGCGAATTCAGCTCCGCAGGTGTCGCAGGTCCCTTCCTCTTCTTCATGATCGAGGACTTTGGCGTCGGCGGCGAGAGCGATGTCGGCTTCTGGGCAGGCATCGTCTCGGCCAGCTTCTTCTTCGCACAGTTCCTCACCTCGCTCATGTGGGCCTCCGTCGCCGACAAGCGCGGTCGTCGCTTCGTCCTCGCCATCTCCCTCCTCGGCAATGCGCTCACCATGGTGCTCTTCGGCACTTCCCAAAACCTCGGCTCGGCCATCTTCATCCGTCTCGCTCAGGGCTTCTTCAACGGCGCCGTCGGCGTCGCAAAGGGCGCCATCCGCGACATCACCGACGACACAAACGAAGGTCGCGCCTACGCACTCATGGGCTTCTGCTGGGGCATGGGAGGTATCATCGGCCCCATCCTCGGCGGCCTCCTCGAGCATCCCGTCCAAAAGTTCCCCGGCCTCTTTGCCAACAGCCAGCTCTTGACAAACTACCCTTACCTCCTCCCCTGCCTCGTCGCAGCCACCTTCACCGCCGTCGGCTCCTTCCTCACCCTCTTCATCGGCCACGACGGCGGGCCCCGC